ATGGGATTCTTGGCCATGCTAGCGCGTGGCTCTAGGGATGGCAGTGTTGATCAGTCGGCCCACTACTTTAGTCCAGAATGAATATCTCAACTAATTTCATGGGTTGCCATGACATTTTGTACAAACATTTATTGTCCCCAGACGATGAATGACTTTTCCGCTGACTTTTCAACCAGACTCACCATAAGATTGACATTTTAGGTTTTGAGTGAATGTCTCAAGAACTACTGGATTGTCATGAAATTTGCTACACACATTAAACATGCCTCAGGATGAATTGTTTCTGTGAATTTAACAGAAAGCTGATGTGTGACTAAGGAGAGATTATTTTCAGTACTGACTGTGGTGGCAGAAAATTTATCTGTCTTATATTCATGCTGATAATTTATCTTTAATTTGATTTAATATATCTAATACGGTGTACTTATATCATCTTCTCTGACATTATACTGTCCACTGGGACATGTCAGAAAAAGACAACGGTTTGTTGAAATCCAGTTATTTGTTCAGTTCTGCACAGGGAAATGTACTACTTCCACGACACCAAGCTAAGATAATATATAAAATAATGGTTTAACATGTATCAGACACCTGTCCCTATCCACTTCACACACTCATCTGCACATCAGGTCATGGTTCACTGCTGCTTAGTATGTGAGGTGAGGCACAGACCTGACATTTGAATTTTGCAGATTTGTCAGTCAAATTTAAAACACAATCAACTTGTGTAGAACTCAAATGAACAAACTGTAATAAGCTCCAATAAGAGAAATCTAAATAGACATATAATATAGATATTATCACAGATGAAAATCCATTGTGTCCAGCCTCTGAATCTTCATTTTCTGAAGTGAGCAGAGCTCTTAAACATTTCCCAGTATTAATTATGTTTATAAGCAATTCTCCTAAAATGAGGAAAAGTCATAAAGTAAGATTTTGTTAGGTATGTGTTTAAAGGGGTCCTCAGTATCCTAAACATAACATATAACCATTGTTATGTCCTATAGAGATTCTCTAGGGAGACTGGATTCCTTCAGATATGATAAGGGCCACAAACTCACTGTTGACAATCACCAACACAGTGTCAGGCGCATATTTCAGAGACTGCACTGTTGTTTTGTAGTATTGTCATGTTTAATATCCTACGGGGAAAGATCCCACCCAGTGCTCACTAACCGCACTCACGTCCTCTTGAAGAGTCCTCCCATGCTGCTGCCCACCATCAGGAAGAACTGCTGGGTGAAGAACACCCAGGTGATCTGCTGCAGGGTGGACTGGGTCTGACACCTCAGGTCCAGGATGGTGGGTCCAAGGAAGGCGATGCACAGACCGAAGCTAAAGAACACACTCCAGTAGGTGAGAGTTTGAGGCCAGTGGCGCTTAAACAGCGTCCAGATCCGCTCGTCCAGCAGCTTCATGTCGGTCCTTCAGATGACGCTAAACAGCTGCTCTTGCATTCAGTCTGAGCTCCGTCAGGACCAACTGCAAAAACTGCCAAAGGACAAAGTCAACACAGCTCTATGAGTCAGCCTGGGCACCAGCCCGGGTAACAGGTTAGTGCCAGGCATGCTACTGACAGACGTGGCGCTGCTTGGCTGAAATCCCAATGTCCCTAATGTCCCGCCCACTTTCTGATTGGTATCTGTTCAGTTTTTCACCGGTGCACAATGACCGGGTCAGTGGGGGAATTAGTACCAAATACTCCAAAGTACAGAAGTGTAGCTAGCCTCTGAGTCTGTAGGTGAAAACACTGACCGTTTTATTTACAGCTGAAAACCAGATGGATGCTGATGTGGGACTTTTGTTTGTAAAAACAATTTTTGAATGTATTCCCTGGGTAAAACCCCAGATCTACTTTAAACACAGCGGTATAAACCCCACATTGTTACCATAGTAGGCTCTGTCCCTTTATGGGATAGTGTTTTCATAGTTTGTTTGGAATGTCCTTCGCTCAACACGAGGTGAGACCGAGACATATTAACCTGTTGCTTTATTTAGCATTGAGAGACGTCACGTTTCTAAAAGGGATGATTGGGTGGGGGCGGGGCGAGCAGAGGAGTTGGAGGAGCAGAGAGAAACGGGAGAAGTAGATGTGAGAGTGGCGAATAGCCACAAACCAAGACGAGTTTTATTTTTTGGGCCCATTAGAGTAACTAATTATAAATAAATTACCCTAAGTTAAGTGTCCCTGAGTTTCCCTCAGTAGTTTTAAAGGTGCAGCCTGACATATCAGTTTTACAGTTTCTGGGGATAGAAGTGGACTGGTGTATGTTTTGGTTTGTTAAGGTAATTTAAGAGACGTCAATTAGAAACCTAAAGGTGACTTATTTCATTTTATTATTTTTTAACTATATTTTTAAAACTTTGGTAAATAAATACTGTCATTTCATATGATTTACCCCTTTATCAGTGTTATAAATAGACACAATTTGAAGCAGAGGATTAACAAAAGCTTGAAAATTACGCATCTGCTTGTTCCTAGAGTATAAAACAGTTGAAAGCAGCACAACCAATAGCCCACTATAGAGTGCAGATTACTGAAAAGAACCCAGGGCGCTGTATCTCATGCTAGCTGATACTGAGAAAGTTCTACATGAAAGTAATTTTTAAAACTGTGAATTATTAAAGTCAAGATACATAGACTGTTTTATTATAGTCATATATTATAGGTTCATTTCTTATTTTTTCTTGCTGTATTTATTTGTATAATTAGTGAAACAATATATTTTACAACATTGATTTGTTTTATTTTGAGTGATCATCACAATAACACAGACATCTCCAACCCCAGCTGGTTGTGGCAGATGCCCCCTACTCTGAGCCATGGTTCTGCTCGAGGTTTCTGCCTCTTAAAAGAGAGTTTTTCTTTGCCTGTGTCGCCAAGTGCTTGCTCATGTTGGGAATTGTTGGGTCTCTGTAAATAATAGTACAAAGAGTAAGGTATAGACCTGCTCTATAGTAAAAGCGCTATGAGATAACCTTTGTTCTGAATTGGCGCTATATAAATAAATAAAATTGAATTGAATCTCATTACCTCTCAGTGCTGTGTTGGTTTCAGTCAGCATCTTTCTTTCTACAGGGTTTCTGCGGGTCTTAAAAAGTCTTAAATTTCAAAATCAAAATTTAAGGCCTTAATTCACTGAAGTTTGTGTTCTAGGTCTTAAATAATTTTTATCAGGTCTTAATTTCCCAACATCCATGTGGCGCTACCTCTAATGCTCATTGAAATGATCCCACAATGCTTTAGAATGTTTTTTCCTCCCACGGTGTTGTAGTTCTTTCTTTCTCTAGTCAAAGGGCCTTTCTCAATCTGTCTTCTTGTGTTCTTGTGAAACATCATCTTTTGTGCCCCAAGTACTGTCCCAATACACAAGTTTGCATTTTGGCAAGAACGGTTAAAAATCCTGGAGGAGGATGCATCGGTTGGTAACTTGTGTGAACTTGACGGCAGAGATATCCCAGCATTCATTTCGGCATTCAAGCGAGGGGCTGAAAGAAACTGAGAGGCCAACAGAACGTTTTGTACTATTTTCGTACATTATTTGATCACTAAATCCACTTCTGAGAAGGTTTGTGGCGAGAAATCAACTGTGTAGATGTCGAATATTGGCAGTTTACTTAAAATGACGGCAAATCGAAATGTGTCCGCAACAGTCAGCGGGGGAAGCTAACGAGCCAGCCAGCAGGGGGAGCTAACGAGCCAGCCAGCAGGGGAGAACTAACGAGCCGGCCGGCCAGATCAGATCACAGAGCCCTCAGACACGCAGACCGCTACAGCCAACAGAGCAGAGGAAAAGATGATACAACAAATAATTGCTGTTATTCTGTCATTACATTCTGAGTAATTTTGTAAGATTTTAACTTAAATCAAGAGACTTCTTGATAATGTACAGAAAAATGGTGATGTACAATGATCAGAAATAGGACGAAAGGGAACTGTCTTTTCTTTATTATTATTATATTAGACATGACATTGCTAGTGTACAGTAGAGTTGTGGTCACAGTATTGCTTTTATTTTATATAATTTTTTATGTGCAAATATATCATGGTAAGTTCAAACCTACAGTAAACCCGATTATGAGCTTTTTGTTTTCGGGGATAAAGCCTGGCTGTTAATAATAATCAGAGCGATGCAGGCGGCCTCTGTGCTGGGGGTATTGTGCCAGCAAGAACGCATCGTCTCAAACCGTCAACAGCATTTTGTGTGCTCGTGACATTGCAAGTTCATTCTTCCAAGAACGACTAGCAAGAACATTCTCCCCAAGAAGTCCATTCTTTGCATTCTTGGTTTTGAGAAATCCAAACCCCTAATCCAAATATAATTTGCTGTATTTCGACTACAAACACCAACATGCAGCTGTCCTGTTATTACTGCCAGTCTCTTTTGGGTTTTAATGCACACAGATATCAAACGGATTTATTGTTCAGCTGTACGAAAGTGCAAACTTTGTGACTCTTCCCCGCCGCTCTCTGTCTCTCTCCCTGTCTGCTCCCCTGAATTTCTCTATCAGCAGTAGGTTATATTTTATAATGTCGCCAAAAAGACACAGAAATCGTCTTTTTTTGTGGATATTTTTGAAGAGGCACTGGCATTGACAAAGATGTGACAGAACCAACCATCGCTGACCTGGTAAACATCTTTCGTACTCACATGGGGCAGCAGCAAGCCTGTGAGGCCAAATGGGAGCAGGAAGCAACCAGGCAAGAGAATAGGTTCAAGGCACTTCAACACCAGTACAGTCTTCTGCAATTGGAGGTTCAAGCAAGGACCTCACCTGCTTCTGGGTCCTCCTCTCCCCAGCAGAATACCCAGGGTAATGGAGCCCAGGTCAGTTCACCATCTCAGGTAGCTTATCCACCAAGAGCCCTCCAGCAGGGTGACTCTCAGTATGGTCAGTCTCATTCACACTTCTTTAAAGAGCCTAAGCTTCAAAAATTAACTGATGCAGATGATACTGAACATTTCCTTTTTACCTTTGAAAGAATAGCAGTGGCCAAAAGAAAACTGGGGCTTTCGACTTATTCCATTGTTGACGGGTAAGGCTAGAAGTGACTATGTACACATAGATTTTGACGAATCTCTTGATTATGATAAAGTTAAATGTGCCATTCTCAAGAAATATGATATTAACCCTAAATCATATTGGCAGAGATTTAGATCTCTTAATGTGGAACCTGATGAGACCCCAAAAGGGCTCTATGTGAGACTTAAGGAGCTTATGGGAAATGGGTTCAACCAAGACAAAAAACTGTTGATGATATTGGTGAAATTATTATTATTGAGCAATACTTGCGTATGCTGTCCCCTGAGCTGCAGGTTTGGATCAAAGAGCATGACCCACGGACTGCGGCAGAGGCTGCTTCATTAGCAGATGTGTTCGTAGCTGCACGCCATAAAAACCCCTCCTGCGTTTGCAAGTCCTGGAAGGCTTCAAAGGACTGTCAGAAACCTGCCTTGGCTGAGCAATGCCCACGATCACCAATAAGTAAGACACCTGTGAAGGACAATCAGCCACTTGCTCATGGTTCCGGTAAAAGTTTTAATAAATTGGTTTGTTATGTATGTGGGCAAGAGGGGCACACAAAGCCAGCTTGTCCACAGAATCCAGTAAAACTTACACAGATGTGCTATGCACCCCGGAAGAAATGTGAGCCTGGGCTGCAGGTGAGGCAATACCTTAAAGAGACATCGATCGAAATTAATGGTCAGAACCTGAGGGCACTTATTGACACTGGAAGTAATCAAACACTAGTGCATAGACGTCATGTAACCCTATAATAGTCCCTATTTGTTGTGTCCATGGGGATGAAAAACCTTATCCAACTGCTGATGTGTATGTTAAAGTGCAAGGGCAGACTTACCTGCTAAATGTTGGTGTCACTGATAATCTGCCTTTCATGATTTGCCAGTGCTTCTTGATCTGATACAGCAGAGTTCCATCTGCAAAATGGCCTTGACCTGGCACGGGCATCAACATTGCACTCAGGTGAGACAAATTGCACTATACGTTCTCTGCCTTTTTATGATGCCTAGGTTGAGGCCGAGCCAGGAAAGTCTCGCAAGTCTCGTAGGCAAAGACGGCAGGAAAACCCTTGAGAGGTCAACCCCTGAGCTGCCCATGGGTTTCTAATTACCTGTGAACATGGTGCAACTGCAGCAAGAAGATGTTAGTTTAGCTGACTACATCCAAAGAGCAAAGGCAAATGAAGGGAGAACTGATTTGGAGCACGGGTTGGAAGGATATATCTTACAGAACGGTCTCCTTTACTATCAACATAGATCAAGAAACCAGCTGGTGGTTCCTAAAGTAGTTAGAGAATCAGTACTTGCTTTAGGTCACTCTATTCCCTGGGCAGGCCACCTAGGGAAACATAAAACAACAGCTCGTATCCACCGCTATTTTCATTGGCCTGGTTTACGTAAAGATGTAGCCCAGTTCTGCCAGAGTTGTCCTCAGGGCCAGCAAACCTCAACGAAACGTCCAACCAGAGCTCCCCTCCAGCCTCTACCAGTGATCAATACACCATTTGAACGTCTTGGAATGGATTTTGTTGGCCCAGTGGAGAGAAGTAAGTCAGGAAACAGATTTATGCTTGTCGGTACAGATTATGCTACCCAGAAGTGTTTCCCCTGAAGTCAGTTAAAGCAAAGGCGGTAGCATCTTGCCTGGTTCAGTTCTTTTCAAGGGTTGGGTTTCCCAAGGAGATACTCAACGACCAAGGCACCAACTTTATGTCTAAGCTGCTGAAGGATGTGTATCAGTTGCTGGGAATCA